TTTTTGTCTATTGACACAAAGGATTATTCTAGACTATATCCCTTTCTCTGGTCATCATTTTTAAAAAATAAAAACTTGCTATTTATTATCGTGGCTTTTAACCTGTGATACGTACGTGAAATTATTCTTGTTTTTTCAAATCTCTGGATGCATCGCTGCATTGTTGATGTGAATCATGTATATTGAATAAATTTTATATGTAATAGCGTGGACTTTCCGTTTGTTGACCTGATGTATTTTACTTGATTTGGATAAATTGTGCTTGCCGTTAATTAATATACCTATGTCAATTGAGCTAATCTATAAATAGTAATCATAATTTACAATATATGTTGTGAAATATTTCAATATATTGACTAGTGAAATACATAAACATGTTAAATGTATTTATTGTACTTTGTTTTTTTTTTTTAGATTAAGTATGTGGACTTTTGTGAACATATCCGTTAGAAATATTTATTATATAAAAGACAATTAGTTTACTGATTACAAAATGACATACACTATGCTAAATCGTAAGTCAATTAATAGTGTAAAATTGACACTGAGCACATGTACTTTGGACTTAATTATAAATCAAAATTAACTACCATAAACTACTGACGAGCGTATCTGGATAATTACAATCTATATAAATCATGTGTGCGTTTATTAGAATCTGATATGGTAAAAATGCATTTAAAAAATTCTCTTTATAATATCTATTGTCATAATATATTACTGTTCTTGATTTTGCTTGGCAACGCCACGCAGCTATTTATTCACATAATAATGATAAACGCATGATTCCTACCCTTTTTGCTAACTTAATACCTAATTCTTAAAACCCGATTCTAGCAAGATACATTAATTCATTTAAATCCATAAAAGGTCATCTGATCACAATAATAACTTCGTCATTTTGTTGACAAGTTAATCATCCGGTTTTGAAAAATAGTTCATTAAACTTTAGCTAAACTGCACGTTCGTAATTTATGACCATATGACCATGTGCTAACTTAATACCAAAGTTTATCACCCATTCCTGAAATATCGGCATTATAATAATAATAATACTAACTTCCAATTCTAATTTTGATGTTCGAAACAGCTGAACCGTTTTTGAGCATTTAGGATTTAAACGAGTTTACAATTTGTAGCATTCATTTAAGCACAGAATCATCGAAATTGGATAAGTCTTTTACGACGATGATTTCCGGACCTTTTTTTTTGCGTCCATTTTAGTATGTCAATTTTCACATTTTTTGAGAATTACCAGGAAAATAATGCAACGAAGTGTATGGTTGCCTAATGAGTGAAATGGTGTGCGAAATACGCTCTTCTGATTGGTCATGCTTCCACATGTCATTTTGTATGATCTGTGCCGAAGATGCAGAACATTTAAGTGGTAGATCGCAGTTGAAGGGTACAAATTTCATAGTAAAAATCGGCGGAAATTTACTATTACTTTCATATAATGTTGGAATGCCGAAAGTTTCTGGCAATATGTAAAAATCATATAGTTATAAAGGAGAAAATGCCAATAACTCGCGATCTACCGACCCAATTTGAATAATTCTACTACTATTAGAACCGGAATAACTTGCTCTATAATCTTTGTTAGAAACTTAAGGAACGTTTACTTGGCACAAAAAAACTTTTCATTGTAAGCTAGCTGCATTCCAACCCTATAGAAAACTATATATACTTCCGACAATTATTACTATTAAATTTGCTATTTTTTGTACCCTTTAATCGCGATTTACCTCTTAAGCATTTACTGTTACCAGCTTTATATAGCACATACATCATCTACGTATTTATCATTATCTTATTTATGCATTTCGTTCTACAAAAGGGACATTATAAGAGAGTTAATCTTCATTTGATATTTTTTATTATTATTGTTTATATTATTCATGATTTGATTTTTTTAACAATCTTTATTATATATTTCTTTCTAAGTTAAAAACATATTGTGATATCGGTCTTTTTTAAAATGGTTTGGTATATCAAAAGATAATGGTTTTAAGGATTATTTTCTTGCAATAGAATATGCTTCAAAAGTTGTGTTCACAAAAATCTATATTCTATTGCAAAAAAATGGATTGGAAAGATAAATTAAACCTGCTGCAATGTATTCACCAGCACTTCAGATCATGGCCTTATTCATCGAGGCCTACACAATGGAAATATACTACAAAATAGTCTAAAAAGCGCATACATCACAGATTTAGGACTTTCAGGGCGTTCTCAAGCGCCTCAATTAATGGGTCGAAAATATGTCGGAAATTAAATTTTGATTAACGGAAAATATTTTTTATCGATTAATCGAGCTTGTCATTAAGATAAGTAAGGTAGCATATTATGTATAAGAAAAATTTTGAATAGTAAAAAATGAACAGTGTTTTACTATTTTATCAAAAAACGTTTTGCCCCGAACCACCTTTTTTTTTGCGCTGACTCATCAAAACTCAATAAATATTAAAGTGAATAAAGTATTGTTCAAGTGTTTTATGAATTTTCATTATCAACACACATTTTTTGTAAAATTATCGTATTATTGACTTTTATGTTATGACAATAACTAAAATTACGTCATAATACTTGTGACTATTTTGATCATTATGAATTCGCATCTCTTGAGAACACCCTCGATAACAACTAATATTGCATTAGAAACAAGTCTAATGGAATTTATGAAATTTTACAATACATTGCTCCTAAAATTTTGAAATATCATATTCTAAAGGATCTGATATTTATTCATTTGGTATAATCATGTGGGAAATTTTATATGTTATCGTGCAAACTCTTATGATCATAGATTTTTTTCTTCTTGTTATTTTTTATACGTTATTACATAAGCACAACACTCTCGAATTAAAACTCAGTTAGCCAAAAATGACTTGAAAATCATGATCATAATTGCACGATTACATCGATATTGGATCATGCAACGATTAATATCATAAAATTTGTTCTGTCAGAGCAAATGATTGGCTGAAATGTGCCGCTGTGCGGCACATGTCAGCCAACCATTTGCTCCGACAAACCAAATTTCATGATATTAATCGTTGCATGACCAATATCTTATATGTACACCTATTCCTATTGAACAAAAATCAGAATTTCAATTATAATTATAAGTGTGTAATGGTTTGCGACAACATATTTATGAAAAATACAGAAATATGTTATACACATTTAATGAAAAATGCTGGAGCATGGTTCCAAAAAAAATAAAGTATTTTATTAGAATTATCTGAAATCTGTTCAAAAACTGCAAAATGTAAAAATCAAGGTATTCAAATAAATATTGAGCAACATTATAAAAGTACAGTAAATTTATTTGTTTATCAGTGGCTATTTTAGACTATGGCATTGTTTATAATCTTTTTTATAGGTAATAAATTACGTGAACTGGAAATACTGGGTATGTATATGGATTAAAAAAAAGGCAATTCTCACAATTTATGTAGCATTCTCACTGATAGGTTAAAAGTTAACCGACCTGCATTACAAACTCAAAACCGGGTTACAACCCGATTATCTCAAATGACCCGAGTAACCCGGTTAACGTTATTATAGGTCAGAGATGCCGATTTTTTTTTGGATAACGTAAAAAGTTTGAATTTGACCGCATAAGAATTATATTTCATGAATTGAGCCACATTACATGATTTTGAATTATTTTGCCAAAATTTCGCCATTCCTAAGATTCTCGAAATTATCAAAAATGAGTCGTATGAACTCAGCCAATCAGATTAATAAAAATTAACTGACAACGTGACCTGTAATCAACCAAGCCGTTAAGTTAAACCCGCGCAAATAAGCATACACTAAAATTATACTTATGTATATAACGGTATAAACCAATTTTTCTGACAAATTGTCTCGACTTAGGTTGTCATTGTTAAAAGTAGATCAAAAGATCAAATTTCTTAAACACGCTCTCGTAACCTCATTGTATTATATAATTAAAGCAAGTCGCAAACCGTCATAAGTCTCTCTCAGCTGTAATAACTTGCATACCTAGCTATTCAAATATCTCCATAACGCCCTTAGCTGTCCCACAAAAAATTGTTCATCCATGTAATATTGGCCGATCGAATTTCAGGATCTGGTGTAACGTAAAAATCAGCGAAGCCACTTTTTTACAAACCAACGAGAATAGCTCTAAATTTTAATTAGGAAATCACCTTCTGCGGCCTAATTAAAAATGTTCCTCGTGAAACTTTACTAAAAGACACAACCTTAGCCTTACGTTGTTCTCACCCTAACCTTAACGCGGTTTAGTTTTACACGCAACTTTTTTACTTGGAAAACAAAATGTTTGTTTTGTGGGAACGCTAACTAAAAAGTATCTCCATACAACAAATAAATGATACCTTATATCATACCTACTAAAACTGAGCAGTACAGCATTCTAGAGAGCGTCTATTTGATTTTTTAGTATGTTAGAACTATATTTTAACAAATACCTTATGTATCGCTAACGCTAATAATATATAATGACATGAAGATATCAGTTATCCAAATTTTCAATTTAAAATTATTATTATTCCTTATGTTATGCTATTCGCTAATTAAAAATGATATACAACTTAAATTATTCAAATATAATAATTCTTTCACGCTAAAAATTATCTCAATACAATATATAATCAGACACAAAAAAATTACTAATAAAATGAGATTTATTCTAGCAATAAAAATAATGTGAAGATGAAGTCATTTATAAATTTTAATAAACTAGAATATTGTTTTGAAACAGCTTCCAAAAATTATCTAAATTCTTTACTTTGACGTTTATTATCAACTTAAATTTTCAATAGTCAGTACAGTATACCTATAATCATAATACTATATAATTAAAATAAAAACTTACTTATTTGCACTAAGCCATGTCCAAAATTTGCTAATATTACACATGCATAATAATATGTAACCTTTTACATTAAATTTTTTTAAAAAAAGTCTAGTTACTGTATTATCAAATAACACAGTAGCATGTTAATTTAATTGTCACTTACGAGAGCAGTAATTAACGTTACAAAAACTGGATTGGGATGAAAAATTAGAATTATAAATGCAAATTATTAAAAAATTAATTTTATTAATTCGGGTCTTACTTGTGGATATCCAAAAATACCATCCATCAGAAGCAGCTGAAATTCCATCCTTAATCAAAAAAGCAAAGTCAGCAACAAAGAATACCCAGAACACAAGAAATATGTACATTCCAATTTTCCATTGTCGAATAAACTGAAAGAAAAGGAATTTATATAGTAGATGTCACCTTATAAAACAAGTAACAAAGTTGATATAAGCAAAAAAAGTACCGAATTAAAAGCGAGAATCAGTGCAGGAATTGAAAACAATAAGATTGAAGCATGAATCGCGTAAGCAATTACAAACATCATCGATTGTCGTCCGAGAAAAGGGATTATTGCGGCTGTTAATGAAGCGTTTATGACAACTAAGAATGCAGCTAACTTTAACATCATGACAAAAATGAGCATTTTCCGATAAAGGGCTATAAAAAATATATTATAGGTAAATATTAAATATAGGATAGGCAGCACTGAACGAAACCTACTTGGTTTATGTAGTTCAATATCTGGCTTTTCATACATTTTCCGTTCAAATAGTATAAACAATCTCCAAGTTAAGATTAATTTCGCCAATGCAAAAGCTGAAGAAACAATAACATTTGGATATTCATATGACTCATAATATGGAGAAAGCTGGTAAACTCCTGGACAGCTAGCCGTTATAATATTTAATTCAATTGCAACTTCATCTTGTTGGACCTAGTAAAGAAAATAATGGTTACACAATATGTAAAATTACGCAATAAGCATAAAGTCGATTATAAAAAATGACAAATCACAATTCCATAGAGAGCGTTTGCAATATCGAGTCCAAGTATCACGAATATTTGAATCATGTTTTGGTGAACTATCTATTAGAAAACAGATTAAAAATTATTAATGCATTTCATCTGACTTTTTTTTTGATATTTTTGTTTTTTCTTACCGCATGTGAACAAAAATAGAATTGGAAAATTTGAAAAAATATAAAACAAAAATTTTCAGCAAATAATAAGGTAAGTCTATTGTCAGCTAAGACCATTTCACATGAAGCAGCAAGAGTTTTATTTTGTTCTAGATAAGATTCCATTTGATCGCTAAGCGAAGTATTACGCAAAGCGATTCTTATTTGAAGTATTATAAGAGTTATTGCTTGAAGTAAAGACATTATGACAAAACTTTTCGTATCATTTGATAAATTGATTCTTTCCCACTATGTATTATCGAAAAAAAGTATTTTATTTTTAGCGCAACATGTAAAAAAAAAAGTAACAAAAATAAACAAAGCTTACCTTCCACTTCAAACTTTTTTTGAGAGTTTTTAAAATCATTTTGGTTTAAACTACTAAATCTATTTGATCTTGGAATATGCTTTTATATGTAAATCAACCATTAAAAGAAAGTCGATCATTAATTTGTAAACGATTAATTAGGTAGAAGGCGTAGTGATCGAATGTCATAATAGAGGCTATGGAGGCTGTGTTTTGCAGATAGTTATTAATTAAATAAATTAAGAGTTATAGCGTCTTTTATGCTGTGTGATGTTGCCGCGCAATACCACGAATATGCAATGTAATTGTTATTATTGCATATAAAATCTCCTAAAATTATCCTACCACGTGAAGTACCCCTTCACTACCAAAGAAATCGGTGGATTCGTGAACAGTATCCATTATTATTCAATTTTATAAATGAATTTCTTGAATAATCTGCATGCAGTGGTGATGTAAATGGTAATATAGATCTATTGTCAATGAAAATGCCAAAAAATTGGGATTGATTAAATCTATTATTTTTAGTGTAAAGGTTATGTTATGAATTCTTTGTTATAGAATAGCAGGACTGATAAATAACAGATGACCTTCGAAATGCCCTAATCACGTGATAATTTTAATATAAGTTTCCTATATCAAATGACCTAGATCATTTTGTAAAATGGAAAATATTAATATACTATCTCTGTTGAATAGTGTTAGCCGGTTATAACATTTGTTCACCCAAATCCAAGAAAATCTATTCGAGTTGACTTTGTACAACGTACCCTCAAAATCTGTGCCTTAGGTATAATGTAATTACAAACAAATTATTATTATACGTTAAAACAGGTAATTTTCAGTAAATTAAGGTTTGATAAACTGTATTACAGTATAAGGTACGTAACACAGCTGAGATGTGGTGCAAAACTTAAGAATCAACTATGAAATGAAGAAAAGGTGCAATTATAAAAAAGATTATCATGAATTTCATAATAATCTATTTTAGAATGCACCTTTCTGTTGGCGACACTTAAATAAAGGTTGTGCGTTGAACATTTTATTAGTAGTCTGCCTGTTTCATTATATGGCTGCGTAACTGTATCAAGCTCAAAGTAGAAAAATAATAAATTGTGTCCATTGTTACTTATACGTTGATTGACACCAAGCAAAAGAACAATGTTTCTGTATACAAATAATACCAAAATTTAATAAGGTCAATAATTAATAATTCAATTTATAGGCCGTGATAACACTTTCATTTTAGTTTCAGCAATAAACGTTTAAATACTATTGGGAGGTCTTGTGCTTTAATTATAAGGGTCGCATGATACACTTTTTTTGCAAGGAGAGCGATGTTATTATCTATGTATACAGTTATTAATAATTCAGGGTGATCTTAAACTGAATGCAGGGATCGAATTAAGGTGAATCGAAAGCATTCAAATCGGCGATCTCAGCACAATCATGAGCCGAGATCGACGTTGGTGCACGATATAACTTGAACAATTTAATAAACCAAAAAAAAAACCAGAAAAACAAGATGTAGCAATACTAATAATCTTTAATCAGATACAGAATCCAAAATTACGCTCAATGATAGGCCATACAAATAGTCAAATTATAAAGGATGAATCTGGAATTTAATGGAGACAATATTACGAACATTACTTTTTAGAATTATTTATGGTAATCATTTTTATTAAAGGAAGTATTATCAAAATCCAATTTTCTTGGTCAAAATCTCTCGCTTATATACATTTTATTTATAGGGCGTGCGCTAACGCCAAAATGACGCAAACATTTCACCATATCGCGCATCATTATCTCCCGGCGCAAAAACTTACCCGAATGTTGAGGCGCGTTACCCGGATAATTATTGTCATTTATCGTAGCCACAACCCAATTATCCATTAATGACTCATCGCCTAAGCCCAGCGATCCTTTCTATAAAACAAAATTGGAAGGTCGATCATTTCTACGGTACTTATCGTTATGCTTGGAAAACAATAATGTGCTAAAATAGGATGTGCCAATACATATCGATATCAAGAGTAATGCGATAGAGTAATACAAAAATAATTGGATTAGTTGAGTGATCGTTTTTTGGGGCGCTGAGTATTTTCACTTAGAATGCAAAGCACCGATTGCTTAGCTATTAGCCAGTTTTTTGAAAATATATCAATATATTACAACTTTCTAAGTTTGGTAAACAGATCAGTGTCTATGTTGTTCAACATCTATGATATATTTTAGTAAACTCGTAAACGTATTAAAATTAATTCAAAATTTATACAAAACTAATAATTTTAAATAATTTTAAAAAAACAACCAGAATTTTTAATTACCGTACTTTCACGAAATAACGCAGGGGCGTTGTTTAGATTTTTGGCCTGAATTAAGCTTAATTCGGGCCAAATTTCGAAGCTACACCCTGCACGTTATTTCGCGAAAATACGGTATATAAAACGTAATACCTCAAAATCTTTTTTTCCATGAATGCATTGGCATATCTTAAAATTTTAAAAAAAAATTATATAAAAATATTATATAATTTGCATGTATAATTTGAACCAACAGTTTTATTTTTTTTGTAAATTTAGGATATTAGAATACAAACAATTAATATTTGTAACAAAACATTTTTCATGTATAAAACACAAATATAATAAATATATGTTAGATATATTTAGCAAAATCATAAGTTTCAGTAAGGAATTTATAAATTCCTTGTAAATTCACAAGAACAAAAGTTGTATCGTACACAGTTGTTGTAAGTCTTGAAAGCACATAAGTTAAAGATGCTTAACGAAACTTTCGTCATTGACGAATGACGAAACCATTCGTCAGGCAATTTTCTGAATGACGATTGACGAATGGCGATGTGAGACCGGAAACGTGACCTGACGGCAGGCATATGACCACGTGACTCGGTAAATTCGAATTTGGGTTTCCCGCCCAGATATCCCAGATCTGCCAGATATCACAGATATCACAGATATCCCAGATATCCCAGATATCCCAGATCTCACAGATATGTCAGAACCGCCAGATCTGGAGGATTAGGGTAATTTGGGTGAAATGGCGGATCTTAATGATATGGACTATAAGGCTGATATTGGGTATATTGGTGATTCTAAAGATATAGATGATTCCAATGAATGTAAATACATGGATTAATAATTATAAATAAAGGCCTTCAGGCCCTTCAGAAGCAACAGTTAGTCAGTAAAGTAGTTCCCGATTTACTAAATAATAAAAGTACCTAAGTCTATAAACATGTCCTACTAACTACATACATTCGTTTTCTAAACCACTCGCCCAAATCTAACACGCCTCTTTCGACCCAACATAACCTAATTTCTGGTTACGTGAGCCCATCTTCTGTTCAAGTGATTAACCGACTGATTTTACCCTTCTCAACGAAACCCATGACGAAGCCCGTGATGATTAATGAAGCATAAGAAATTATTTTTTCTTTTATGATGGAAACAAATTGATCTATGCGAGGTTAATGTTTTTATTTGCATTATCATATCTACCCATTTCTACTTTTATCGGTTATTTTTTCTTTTTTTTTTATGAACTCATCCGACATTACCCGATCTAGTGTCAATCAAGGTGTTGGTCACCCGAAGATATCTGATGGGTTTTACGAAAAAAACTACCGACACAAAAAAAATATGAGTGTCGCCAAAAGAAAACCCGACAATTTAAATATAGTCTATATTTAAATTGTCGGGTTTTCTTTTGGCGACACTCATATATAAGAAATATCAGTTATATTGCGCATCATATGTTATATAAATATTTTGTTATTAATTTTGATCAAGTTGGACCATAATTGAATGGGCTGAAGGAACAGAACAATTAAATGTGTTAAAAACATTATATGATAGGTTTGTAAAACTCTGAATTTTTCGAGCATCAATGTCTAATTCAAAAGTTAATTCTCTCTATTAAAAATCAAAAATCAGATCTAAATAGTTTATTTGTTCTTAAACCTTTTCAAATTAAATTATAAAATCATAATATTGTGATTTTAATTTAATTTTTTATATGATCGCATGATATTAATAAATGTATAATTAAAAAAACTTGCGATCTATGATTGGTAGTTCGCTTACGTAAAATTGGGTTTAAATAGAAATATGAAAGCATAGATTAACAAAATTAATTATATAGATCTCTAGTAAAATTTTAATCACCGTACATATCAGATATATAGAATAGCACATATATTTACGTACGTACTTTATTAGAATGTAGCAGAACAAAGTGTATTGTCAAATTCTTATTTAAATCTTTACATTCGATAAATACCTATTCAATTTAATAAATCCATTCTGATTAGCATTTAACAAAAATATCATCCTTATCTGTCACTACTTCGCCTAAACATTCTTGAAGATCATCTAACTCGATGTCACTGACATACACATGCTTTAAAGTTTTTTTTCGCATATGAAATCCAATTAATGAATTGGCCACTTTTCTACAATTATATCTTTCAGCCACTATCCAATCACAATAATAGTATTCTTTTGCAACATGAAATAAAAATTTATTTAAAGGAGCATCACAATGATCTAATAAAATATCAATATGCGGATTTGAATATAATCCTATCCCATTCCATTCAAGATATTGTAAAGTTGGTGGTAATAATTTTGCAAATTGCTTAATTCGCTTTTCCATATCTTCATTAGATACATCATTATACCATTCTAATGTAAGAAATTGAAGCTTGCGTAAATTTAAAATAAGTGGCAAAACTTGAGAGGTAAAAATAATAGTTGAAATGTTAAGGTATTTAATGTTTGGACTGAATGTCTCAAGAGCCATAAATAAATGGTCTTGTGATTGAATTCTCATTCTAGGGTCAGATTTAAGCCTAAGCCGTTGTATTGATAGTCCAGAATTTTCTAAAAATTGAATTAAATCAGAACCATTAAGTTCGTATGCCTCTATTTCCAGTGTACTAATTTTACAGAGATTTGAAATAAAAGATATCCATTTGTCACTATAACTAATTCGAAAAACTTTCAAATTCTCGCAATTAATCAACACCTTAGCACTTTTGTCAAATTCTTCATCATTATTAACGTAGCAATATTCTATATTAATTTCTTGTAATGAATTTCTTTGACATTCCAATGCAGAGACAAAAGAGGAAGTATTTCTATTAAAGCTAAATTTGATAATCTTTCGCTGGGATTTAATAATGCTTTTAATCGCATGATTTATTTGTAGTTCATTGGGACAGCGTACTAGCTTTAAAGTATGAATTTTGGTGGAATTTTTAGCCAAGATTCTTAATAACATAATATACTCGTCAAGATTATTATCAGATGATATTTTTACTGTCAATTTTTGAAGTTGAGAAAAAAATTGATCATTCATTCTTAATGAGTAAAAGACCTCTGGTTTAATAGCCAAATTTGTAACCTGAAAGTGTTTCTTTGATAAAACAACGTCACAGATTTCTAAATCTGATAAAGTAGCACCACTATCAACAAATAGCTTAATTAATAAATTAGCTAAATTTTCCATCACACATTCTTCTAAATCAATACATTTTTTTGATTCAATCCAATTTCGAAGATTATATACAAGAAGATAAAGATCGAGAGTCTTTAAAAATCTTGTGTAATTAAAAATTGTAATAGGAAAATTAACAATTATTCCATATTGACTTAGAATGATTTTGTCATCTTCATTGGAAGATGAAAGATATCTTGGTATGAACGTAGAGTTTTTACTTAATGAAAAAGGGTCACGCCAGAGAATAGGAATTGAAACTTTGCACCAATGTCGGTTTACTAATGCGCAAGAATACAATGAAGAAATTTCATTATTTAAATTGTTAAGAATATTCTCCATTAGCTCAGGTGTATTGCCTGCAACTACTTTTGATGCCATTTTGTTAAGAGTTAAAAATTTTTGATCTGCAATTTTTTAAGTACTGAAATAGCGCACTAAAATTGTTACGGACCCTCTCTGCAACTTTGACCAATCAATTTTCAAGATCAGGTGTAACATAATAGGCAAATTAAATTTGTGGTTTTGTTTGGATTTTAAAATTTGCTTAGAGAAGTAATCAAGTTACGAATATTTTGATCATAGTTTGTTCGAACTAAATCTAAAAAGCTTCATCCCTACTTCGATATTCAACAATTATTTAAAAAATTTTGTTATTCGACTCTATTTACTTGTAGTATAAAAATAAAAAAGTTCGCGGAATTTGCTCCGTTGTCGAGATATATTTGTTCAAAGTCTTATTATCCCTGTCTCTATTTAATAAACGGTTTAATCCTTTACCAAACGAATATATCTCGGAAACCATATAAGTAGATTTGATAACCCTTTTTTATTTTAATTCTATAAGCTCATAGAATTAAAATAAAAAAGTTTATCGAATTTTCTTAGATGGTTGCCAAGATATCTTCGTTAAGTAACTTTAATTTTTAATGTCGATCATTTGCTGTGCCACGTGATATTATATAAACGGTGGGTGATCATTCTGAAGGAATAGGGTCATCAACAAGAAGGTATTACATAGTTTTCAATTTAAATATTATTGAATATCATACTAATCTATTTATTTTAAAGATCTTCTTTTGACCCTACTGAATGCAAGTTTAAGCAATATGATACTTTTCAAAAATCAATTTGTAATCAACCGATAAATGTCATCAACTTTTAAAAGCTTTAAAAATAGTGCTAATCAACTCAAGAATGATTCTAAAATCTTCAAAGTATAAAATGTTATTTGAATTACTACTCATCTAGATTTATATATCAAACTAACAATTATTTATTTAGGCACGGTTGTGTATGATAATTAAAGATGTACGCATGCTCGGAAAGAAATTAAAAAAGAATTTGGACAAAAATTCCAACAAATAGTTGCTAAGGTTTGTAATTAGAATAATATAGATATATTGTATTCTTACCATCTAAAAAAAAAATAATAAATAATTTAACTTTAGGAGGGAATAGATAATTTTATCAGTAGAATTTATTCTGGTGATGTTGATATATGCGCATGGCCAATGTTTAATGATTTAGCTTGGTACACTGCTTTAAACAAAATAAAAGAAAAACTTGATAAAAGAGAATTTAAATATGACAATGCACATTATTTTATTGACTTATTAAATTAATGCTAGCCAAATTAACGGTATCATTTTATGTTGATTATGTTGTATAAAGTTTTATTTTTGAGATATTAATTCAAATCTCAAAATATTCTATTTTAGGTGTGTGATTGGAATCCAATAGATGATGCTATTGTTAAGAGGCGTGTATCTACTCTTAAAATATTTTTTTAACTTTGCTATAAATATGGGTATTGAACAAACAAAGCTATCTATTAATGAACTTCTGGTATGAATATTTAGTGTCTTTTGCTAAATCATAACTATTTATTTATATATCTTTATTGTTATCTTAATCAGGATCGTTCAACTGGAACAGTAATAGATGAAATTGAAAAATTAATAGATAATTCTGAAGATGACAAATTATATCTCAATTCAAAATTTGTTTTGCCTGAGGATATTAAAAATAAAATAAACAGTTCACCATTTCCCAAGGATTCACAACTTTTACTATATAAAAACGATTTTAACCTGGTTGATATATCAGAATCCTTAATTGAATTTTTGAAAATTATATTATACCGCAGAAAAGGATAAAATATGATTCAATTATCAAAAGGCATATTAAAAGAGTTAAATTATAGTTTGATCAAAAATACTGCAAAATTTTTACAAGATAACTCCCATATTATTCAGGGAAGCAATGTATTGTTACAAGAAATTAGCAAACTTACAGTTTTTTTGAATTTATGCGGCATTAAATGTTCTATATGTAAGCTATATTGTTTAAAACAAAGAGATTATAATAGTGTTCATGATTGTCTTACAGATCACAAATGCCATTTTGATTGCCAATTTGATGAAAGTCATTCTGAACAAAAAATGCAGAAAGGAGTATGCAAACATGAAGGCGGACATGATGGAAAGCATTTTTGTGATAAAATCGTAAGTTATATTCACAATATTTTATTACAAGACTTTTACAAAAACGAACCTATGGTGTTTTACAGTAAAAATGTTTTACCCCCTAAAAACCCTTTCCAAATCTAACGTTAACCCTAAATAACACTAACATGAGAATTTTGTGTACATTCAAAACTTAGAAAAATCTAAAAAACATAATAAAACATATAATAGGTGTAAAACAACCATAGGCGCATTTTACTGTTTTATAATAAATGTTATTACATATATTAATATCATCTTTTTTAGAGACATGAATGTGGAGAACCTTGTTATTTATCTAACAAAAGAAATTGTAGCAAATTTTGCACATATGAAGTGGGCCATTCTGAAAGAGAGCATAGCTGCAAATCAATTCACCATTGTGGTGCAAAGTGTTCATTAAGAATAAGTAAAAAGAACATGAAATATAAATGTCCAAATTATTGCACTTTGCCATATGATTTAAAGCACGATGATAAAAAACATCGCTGTGAGAGTACTTCATGTCCTATATCTTGTTCAATGCCAAATTGCAACAAAAAATGTATTAGCAACAATTATCGTCATGCATTAGATGGAAATGATATTTAAACATCTATGCGGGTAAATTTATATTTAATTTGATTTTTTTTAATTTCAAAAGAAATTTTAATTATATGATTAATTTTAGCAATGAGCATCCTTGCCTAGAAGAATGGCATGGAACTCCAGATATTTATTTAATTCTATATTTGCATATAATTAAATTTTTATTCTTAGTAAAAGTCCAGGAATATGTCGTACAGAAATTATAAAGCAAGAGAATGCAATTTATCATGGTGAACACGAATATACATGTATTGTTTATAGAAAGGTAGTATTGACAGTAATATCTATAAATTCAGTAATTAATAAATTTTAGTATTGATTGAATTTTTTAGTATGTTCAAAACGAAAAAAGACTCCCGTGTTAAAAAAGATTCCTGCAGATAAAACTTTTCATGATGGACCACATATCCATCTAGAAAAGGCAATGCATACCTGTGAAAAAAGATGTCCCTTATGTGAATATTATGTTAGTATTCTTGTTTAACATTAATATAATTATCGATAATAAGTTGTTAACAAAAATTTTGTAAACACGTATAGTGTACATTACTTTATGGTCATACTGGCCTTCATGAAACTACACATGGAAACATGAAGTTTACTATTTTTGTGGCTGAAGAGGAAAACTTTTAGTATAAGGGTTAAATATATAAATTAATATTTAATAATTCTAATAATAAAAAAACGCACCTACTTGTTCTCCATATATGTTTTATTATATTATTATTTGTATTATAAAATTTTTGTGGACAAAATTAAAAAAGGTTTTTTAAAGCGCTGAATACGTACTTGTTATTGATCGTGTTATTGATGATAACTGATTGTTCACTAGGATAATGTGCTTATGACGTGACCGAAGGGCACGTCATAACACGGTGTCTGCTGTGAAGAAATCAGCGATTATCATTAATAACATGATCAATAACAACATTATTGTACATTTCTGACGTAAGCACTTAGCCATTTTCTGCATCCAAATCTATTCAAATTAATAACAGTTATAAATTAAAGATTGGTAATAGAGGTGTTTTTGAATTTTGCAATATGGTGAGTATAATATTATACATATTCGACTTTTTGGTAATAAAATAAGACAATTTAATTTGTTCATTAATAAGACAAAGATGATTGACAGTATAATAATGATAAAAAATTTTTTGTTCAATCTCCAATATTAGTTAAAATTTGAAATTGATATTCATTGTTTTTTTTTTTTTTTAGTATTGCAAAAATTCACATAGACATCGACATATAGATTATTGCAAATACAAAAATAAAAATAATTCGAAGTCTCGAGAAATTAAAAACAATTTTAACATTAAAGAAGATGGTGTTAGGCATATTCATGGTATGTAATTAAATATCTAATTATAAATGGAACCTTTTATTATGTTTAAATTTATTTATTCTCTTTGTATTCTAAAAAACGTATAATAGATATTGCATTATGCCAAATCCTGAGTTACCTAAAGACTTTTTATCACATGAGCAATTCTGGGCTCGAACTGGATTTGAAGGTAAGTGAATTATGCGTTATGAAAAAAAAAATTATATTGTAATTAATTTGATTAAATACTTTTAGACCCGTATACTAAATTGGAGCAAGAAGATTTTGCAAAGTGTGACCACGAATGTTCTGATGAAATTCATCAAAAATCAATAGATGATTTATTGCCAGAGAAATCTTATTGTGATTTACAACTGTTTCATGATCCTTTCAAAACCTTGCCTTCTGAAAAAAAAGGATATTTCTATGCCGTGATCCTAGAGTTGCAACTTTTCATATAATTTTTGTATTAGACCGATCCGGATCTATGGGTTGCAGTGATCACCCACCAACATCAGATACGCTATTTGGAAAGACATTAGCATTACAAGGAATTCATAATAATCGATTTGGTGCAGCATTTTAAGCCACAGATAAATTTATTAATACTCGGATTTCTTCCACACAAAATAAAAGCACAACTATTGCCAATGATATTGTTTCAATTATAAATTCTATTTGAAAACTAGAGTATATTTGATACCGACTTTATTCAAAATGAACTTATTAAGGAAAAAACATGCGGATGAACTTGTTTTAGCGAAGCAATTATACAAACAGAACAAGTTATTGATAATCATTTTGACATATCAAGGTTTTTATTTCTTTATGAAACTAAATATATATAATTGTCATCGGCGGTTTCAGTAATTGAGCTAATAAGATTACTCTATTTAAATTTCAAATCAAAATAACTCTAAATTATGTATATCAAATGAATTTGTACTCAAGATTTTTTCAAAATTTTGCCATATTCTGACTTACTCAACTATAAATATTGCACTAAGCAAGATTTGTTACTATTACCGCTGGTACAATAACATTTCTTTTATAATTAAATAATTCATTTTTATTATATGGGTGTTGGTAAGAGAAAACCTGTAAATCATTTCACTCATTATCATCATAGTGATATGTACCCCTAATTCTTATAGGGGTAGATATCACTGTAATGATAATGAGTGAAATGATTTACAGGTTTTCTCTTACCAACACCCATATATTTTAGGTTGAATGTTGTGATATTTCTTTCTGATGGATTGGACAGTCTTCCCGAAAATAAATTAAAGAATATGTGCCAAAAAAAAAATAAAAAGAGAGTAAGTATATATTTTGGTAAGAAATGGCCTGAATCTATTATTAATATTGAAGTAATTGAAGTAATTTAATTAAGATTACATTAAATTACAAGGTCCCCACTATTTTTTAAACACTATACATTTTGGCGGTTCAGATGATGAATTTAATGATTATGGCGATTCAGAAGAAGGAACCAAAGTTCTTCAAAAAATGGCAAACGTATCGTGATACTAGTTTTCTAATAATGTGCAATGCAAATTTATAAAAGCACCTGATACAATACAACTTATAGATAATTTTACACTAGTATACAAACCTATTCTGATAAAAGAATAAGCAGGGTGTGAATTTATAACTGCTGAAATTTTTAAAAATGTACCTTACTTCTTATTATAGCTATAATTCATTATTTTTATATATTATTTTTTGCTTTTATTATCTTTATATATTTTTAGGATATTTTATTTTTTTATATATTTATTAAATATAAATTATTATTATTATTATTATTATTATATTAAATATATTTTATCTCTTCAAATCGTCTATTTATATTCTGTTTACTCTATCTGAACACAGGAGGTTAATTGTATCAAGTATATGTTTTTTGTCTTGTTTCGACCAAAACCATATATTTTACTAATTCAATTGGCAATGTTATGATAATTTTCATAATTTGTCTGAATAGAAATTTGCCATAATGTTTTATAGTTTTATTTATAATACTTCATTAACAACTCTAAAACTATTTATACATTTATTAACAACTCTACAAATATAACCACGAGAAGCAACCAAAATTTCAGTATTAGTCAATTCCAACATTAGTTGCCCCGTAACCAATAATTATCAATTTTATCTCAACTATACATTCAGTATAATACTAATCAAATAAGCGTGGATATCAATAGACTATCGACTCGTTAATTATTTTAATAGTTTTTTGATTTATACTAGTTTAATAAATTTTTTAAATCAAATAACTTTAACAAAATTAAACAAAATTAAATAAATTCAAATGAGAACATCTACCTTCTCATCAGCTTATTAGTATGAGATTAACTTTAATAATAACTACTTTTTTCTTAAATTATTTTTTTATAAAAATATGTCATTGTAGCATTTGTAAGAAAAAAAAAATTTAATTTTCTTGTTCTGCCTATAAGTTTGTAATTTTTTAACTAAATTGATTGCCATAAATATTTTAAGTTAATGTAATATTATTACAGAGTATCTCCACTAAAAGCTTTTTCAGCTTCAAATGAAGCTCAATAAAGAAAGGTCTAAAGAAGTTAGAGTAGCGTTTATACTGTGAAAAGAAACTCTGCTAAAGCTTTTATTCCTCTAAACCCATTACATTACTATTAATATTTAATGAGGTTAAAATGATGTTTTATTATGAGATTTGGGTAATGTTTAAGTTGATCTTCACAAATATTTAAGGAAGTTAGGGTTGTGTTATGCAAAGAGCCTTCACAATTGCCTTTCCTTCTCTAAAATCTTTTTATCACAGCCAATATTTAAAGAGCACTTGGAAATGCTTTTCAACCTTTGAACTCAATTATGTTACCGGAAATATCTAAGGAAGCAGAGCAGTGTTTGTGCAAAGAGTCTTCAAAATCGATCTTATTATCACCAATCGCTAAAGAAGTTAAAGTGGTGTTTCTTAAAAGAACATTCGCCAATACTTCATACATTTAGGATCCAGTCAATTTCCATGAATATTTAAAAATTGTTTATGCAGAGCTTTTGCTAAGGCTCCTGTCCCTATAAAACCAAATTGATAAAAGAGATATCTAAAGAAGTTAATGTAGAGTTTTTACTAATATCATTTGCCAATGTTTTGCCCTCTCAAATCCGATCTTATTATCACTAAATATTAAGAAATTGGTTGTATTAGTAAAATATTGCAATAGCTCTTTAAAGTTGGACTTTATTATAAATTTTAAACATCTTTCTTTTGTCAAATTCTCTCTTTTTTAATTTTTTTGTAGCACTTAGTGTACATGTGTCATTTCTTAATTTACGAATGACGAATGTAACATTAAAGTTCTAGCAGTTTTATTCAAATTCAAATACAAATGAATTCGGAAATTTAATGATGCTTAATTCTTATCTTTTAAAAAAAATCATTGCTTTCTATTTCAATAATAAGATTTCGATAAAGGTAAAAAAAAAATTAAATAAAAAAATTAAAACTGGAATGAAATGAAATTTAATCTAGAACATAATAATAGAGTTTCAGAATTAATAATCAAGAACCCATTTCACCCGAAGAGGATGATGCGTTTTTTAAAGATATTAAAATGGTTATATCATTTTCAATCAAGTTATGGATGCTTTTAGTTTATATGATTATTAATTGAGTTTTCAATTATATATAATGAAATATGAGTCCTCAGATATTTCCATTTCGTTTCTTTTATTCGATATTTGTAGAAATTTTCGATTTTTTAAAATTCCTATTTTCTATATGTTAATTATGAAACACATCCACTAAATTACTATATAACTCTTAATTTCAAATTACACTTTTTTTAATATACTTTTTGTATCTAAAACGTTTAGAATATGATTTGAATGAATTTCACCGGATTACGATTAGTACTAAAAATATTCGGATCTACAATATTAGGGATTAGTAAACTTCGTTCCCACTTATTCACATATGGATCAGTGATCTTGGCAAATTTATCGGGAATTATTCATGTAATAAATTGTGTAAATGCTATATTTATTAAAATACATTAACTATTAACTACAGCAGTAAAAATTACTTTAATAAATGCACACCTATCTTAAGAAAGCCATACTACGTAGTGTTCATGGCAACCGGGCGGCAATACAGACTACCCAATCACCACCAAAATAACACAACAACCACATGATATATTCAACAATTAATTTGGCAAGGTAAGGCTAAATCGGGCATATCATGGAGACAAAAAGCAATCTACAGTAATTACTATTTTTATTCAAACGTTCACTGCTCTTTATTAAGGGCAAAAGGGGCCCGTTTTGTACAATTTACATGCGGGGCCCTATAAAAAAGGTTCGTATTGTTATTGTAGGCATTGTCCAAAAAAAAAAAATTGTTCGGAACGGAGTCGATTTTCCGAACAGGATAAATATTTGTACTGTTTCATAACGAAGTTTGTACGGGACGTAAATAATAGGAAATTTTTGATCGTATAAAAACCGTATAAAAACGCATTCATCCAATAAACATCCTTTAAATGTCCGAAATGCAGTCGATTTTCCGAACAAAAAATCGAATAATTTCGGAATTTTCCGAACAATTAGAAGAGATTTTTTATTAGGGGAAAATCTATTGCGCAATATCGCGCAATCATTGCGGTAACAATTGTTTCCTTCAAAGGCTTACAATTGTTTGTTTATTGCACTGCCCCAAGCTTAAGGTCTTGTGGTCTTGGGGCTTCGTGGGACTCCGAATCGGGGTTTTGGTCACGTTTTCAGGCCTTGTGACGTCGAATTTGGCGCATCGGTTTTGCCACTTTATTAAAAATATTATAAAATTGATAATTTTTCTTTTGTATTTTAAAGTAATCATAAATATTTAATTGCTTTTATTTAAAAAGTAAATACAATCACACCTATAGATGCTGGTGAAATATGGTGAAATGTGGTGAAATAATTTCACCACTATTGGTGAAATTGGTGGTGAATTGGTGAAATTGGTGAAATTAATTTCACCAGCATCATAGTTATACCCCATAAGTGCATGCCGTTGGGACCATAGTGAAAAAATCAAAATTTGCACTTAGAGGGTGTTTGTATTTATAAAGAGTAAAATATATAAGACTCTTATAAGTTGGGACCAAACTGGATCGTGGGGTTTTACACAGTACTTGCACTTAGGGTAGTGATGGGCATCGCGCGGGATTCATCACGTGATGCGTGGGATAATTCGGGCCACTACCATAATTCCGGCCAAATTTTACATAATTCCAGTAAACAATCCCGCGGATCACCCGCATCCCGCGCGGGATTTTTGTAAAAACTGCAAATTGCCCATCACTAACTTAGGGGTGTGCACTTAGGGGGTGCGACTGTATATAGCTAATATCTTAAGATATATTAAACTTTTTTGTATTCATACAAATAAATATATTGGCATTAGATATATGCTTATTAAATATCGAAATAAATCTTTTCAGAACCAATTTTGCATGAATTTGTGGATTGTCGGTCAATATAATTAATAAACTTGCTAGCATAAATCGGACTATCATCTAAACTATTAAAGTTATTATTATTTCCAATCACAATTTCTTCATCTGATCTTAAAAATTCAGTTGAAATTTCTGCATTATTTTCCAATTTAAAATGGTTTGATGAATTTTATAGCTGATGGCCGTTTTTCTGGATCTTCATCCCAACATTTTTTTAAACAATTTGCATAGCATGATGTTATGCCTTTAATAGCTGTTGGTCTCATACTATTACAGATTTCAAATGTTAATTTTAACTTAACTTATCTTTATTTTCAGAAAATACAAAAATTTCCCGAAGAAATTTCCCACATAATCACTCCGAAAGAATAAATATCTGATGCTTTGTTGAATGGCTTTCCTGTACATCGTAAGCGACTAAAGTTCCCTTCTTCATAACCCAACATACCTCGAACATAATACACAGGGTTTTGGCCACCACCACTGTGACAATTCGCGTGACGGATCGAGTAACTGGTCATATTTCGTCAGGTCAACTTTTCAGTTTCTTTTAAGGTTTTAATTGACGAAACGAAATTAGCTTTCGCGTTTCGTCAGTGTGAACCTCCGGGTTCTTCTAAAAGCTATAGCTTAGATCGTAAAATATTTGTTAGATATTTTTCACATTCGGTCAGTATATTATCTTAAATTCAAAATATTTACTATTTACACAACTATCATTCAAAGGTATGCATTCTAGTTTTAAACAATCGCCATCTTATTAATACATTATGCGGGAATCTTATTAATAAAGATTTTTATAAAATACATATTTATTAAACATATAATTTAATTAATATTAAACATAATTTGCTAATAATAATAATAATAATAATATACATGATAATTTATAAAATATAAGATAGTATATATACAGTATATTAAACAATTAATTGCCTTATTTAAAATTAGCTTCCATGAAACGTACACCTCTAAGTGTATACTTGTAACCAGTTACAAAGAGATGCTTTCGGAAGTTGTCCGTAGCATTAATTATCTTGAGTACAATCTCATGTTAATCCTTCAGAAACATAATTAAGTTAACAATAAACAAAGTATAGGTCTGAATTTAAATTTCATTATTAACCTCATTCACCATTTAGGCCACACAAAGTTGGTTTTCGTTAAGGTTTTCAAAATTACCGTCGATCGGTCAGGCTTTTTTTTTTTTAATCTATCGTAAATTAATCTCATGTTCATATCTAAGACCACACAAAGTAACTTTTCGCTTTGCATAAGGAGTTTTCTATTGGTTCTATCCGATAATTTCGGGAAAATAAGGTTTGCATATCGGGTGATGCCGGATTAATTTATTGCAAAATAGAAAATTGGGACTTAAAAAAAAATTGTTCTTGAAAAATTAAAAAATAGGTTTGTGGGTAATGCAAAACGAAAAATCAACTTTACGTGGCCTTATTTGCGTTGATTATAATATGTTATATTCAACCCACGCTACAAGAGTTCATATTTATATAATAATTTTCATTCCCATTATCATCATCATTTATTACTTCATAATCTATACTCATCACATCACTCTTATCTTCATTCTTAGCTTCCTTTTCATCTTTATTTATTGCTTTATTTTTATCCCCATTTCTAACTTGATTCGTATCATCACTTATCATTTCATTCTTACTCCTATCTTCATTCATATCTTCGCTCTTCTCTTCACTCTTATCTTCATTCATAGCTTCACTTTTCTCTTCAATCTTATCCTCATTCATCTTTTCTTCACTCTTATCCTCATTCATAGTTTCACTTTTATCCTCATTCATAGCTTCACTCTTCTCTTCACTCTTATCTACGTTCATAGCTTCACTCTTATCTTCGTTCATAGCTTCACTCTTCTCTTCACTCTTATCTTCATTCTTATCTTCATTCATATCTTCATTCTTCTCTTCACTCTTATCTTCATTCATAGCTACACTCTTATCTTCACCCTTATCTTCATTCATAGATACACTCTTCTCTTCATTAATAGCTTTACTCTTCTCTTCACTCTTATTTTCAACCATAACTTCGTTCTTAACCTCATTCTTAACTTTATCACTCTCAACTTTATCGTTCTCAATTTTATTGTTCTCAACTTTATCGTTTTCAACTTTATCGTTCTCAACTTTTTCATTCCCAACTTTTTCATTCCCAACTTTATCATTCTCAACTTTATTCGTAACTCCTTTTACGACTATATTCATATTTTCGTTTTTAACTTCCTTTTTAACATCGTTCTTAACATCATTCTTAACGTCGTTTTTTCCATCGTTCTCAACATCTTTCTTAGCATCATTCAATTGCTTTAATAAATTAACGGCTTTTTCATAATTATGATCAGCAGCTAATTTTAAATACATCATTCCAAGTTCTTTATCAGATTGTACTTTAAGCTTTCCATTGATATAAATATCCGCTAAGTAATACATAGCATTAGGATTTTTGTTATTAGCCGCCAATTTAAAATAATGTATTATTTCATTTCTATTTTCTTCTTTTTTAGATTCAGGATCATCTTTCTTAAGATCAGATAGTAAAGCAACAGCGTATCGACATTGAGCATCAGAATGATCATGATCAGCAGCTTCTTTAAAAAGCCTTTTCGCTCGTTCTTTATCTATTTCTATGACATCATATCCGTAAGATAAGTAGTAACCTAACCAATATTTTGCAAGAGGATCACCAAGTTTAGCATTTTCTTCGAAACATTCTAAAGCAGCTTTATGATCTCTGTTTTTATGAAGTTCTACTCCTTTTTCAAGAGGTATTAAAAAGTTAACTGATGGACTATCAACATCCATTGCTTCTTCAAGTTTTGAAATTTTATCTTGTAAAGGTATTGGTGTGTCAGAAGGTATTGGGAAATTTTCGACCAATTTTTCAAGTGTTAAATGTAAGCTTGCAAGAGATATTCGTTGATGGGGTTTATGATGCCATGCTGTTTGCGAATTAAACAAAAGAAAATATTAAATCAGTAAAAAGAAAAAAAAAACCACTATCCGGCAGCTCATTATGATAGTTCTTGCGAAAAAATAACTCGATTATTTGGCAATGATACGTCATCTGCTAAATAAAATTTTCAGCTTACGTAATCATTGAAAAAAACTCGAGTCATTTAGTGAGTACGATCGTCATAAACCATCGGATACGATAACACCGACCGTTATTGTATGCTACGCAGCCAATAATATGTTTGTCTGACAGTGAATTTAAATGTGTCGTTTCTGAGACTTTCGGTTTCAAAAGACGATATATTAGATTATACAGTCAGGTAATTAATTGTTTCGCAAATTAATCTCATTATTGGCTGTTCGCATCCAATAACTATGGTGATTATTCAAGTATAATAAATTTATCTAAACTTACATTTATTAATAATTATAATAAACTCTTTTTGAATTTCTTTATCCATAGTATTACTAAAGTTTTTAAGTAAAAGCTTTTCTCGTTTACCACTTAAAACATGATCAGATATTTCCTTAATCTCCAAGCTTTCATATGGCATCTTTTCGTAACAAAGTTCCCATATTAGCATACCGAAGCTAATTACAAAAACGAAAATTAATAACGAATTATTGAAATATTACTAATAAGGTGCTATATGTAGGCTGTAAATTAGAATAGATAAACAACAAATACCTAAACATTTCACAACTAAATGTATATGTATTTTCATCACGTCTATATTTTTCATATCTCTCAAGTTGTTCAGGAGCCATCCAACGAATAATATCTGTTACTAAACCTGAAAGATTCTTAGCCCTTACATTTACTTCACGAGTACATCTGAAATTTCCAAGTTTTGGGACCAAATCGGTTGACATCTAAAATTTAATATGTTAACAATTTTGATATATTATAATAAATTAAAATTTCATTTAAATTATTTAATTTATATTTACAAAAATATTTCCACATCTAAGATCATGATGAAAAATATTTAATCTACGTAAGAATACTATACCACGACATATATCTCGAACAATTTGTAATTTTCTAGTCCAAGGAATAATGTAAGTGTTGTAAAGTTCTTTTAAAGTTCCATTATTAGTCCATTCAAGTACTATAACTTTAAGATTATCTACGCTTGAAAGACCATGAAAACGAAGTATGTACTCTGATTGTAATTTTCCAAGAATTGTTAAATCACTTTCTTGATTCTTATAATCGCCAATGGGTTTGCATGCAACTTCTGAATCATTATATAATTTCTTAACTATACGACCACGATGATTTTCAAGTGGTATAAGAAGATCTTTTAGTTCGCTTGAATTAATCCTATGTGCACGAACATCGCTTTGTTGTTTAGCCGTTTGGATCCTTATTATTGATACTTCTTGGATTATTACGTCGATGTTTCGATTATCTTTGCAAGTAATATTTTGAAGAGTCTAAAAATTTTTTTAAATTCATTAAATTTTTGTCTTAAGCGTTCTCTTAATTCTTATTTTAGTTTTTCTTTTTCATACAAAAAATGGAATGGTCTGAAAGAGTAATGATATTTTTACTTACATCTTCCACTTCCTTTATATCTTTATCGACTTTTTCTACATCGGAATTACCATTAATTTCATCAACAGTTTTTAATGTAAACTGTGTAAACTGTAAACGTTCTATACACTTATTATATTCATCAATTAAATTATTGAATTTATTTCTAACTTCTTTTGCACTAAGGTACTTTTTATAACCCCTAAATGTTGACACATTCTTGATATACTCTTTGATATTTGATAGAGTAATTTTAAAACTTTTAAAGCTCGAATAATAAACATTTTGTATAATATTCTCCATATTATCATTCATGTCTATTATCATTAAATTCATCTCTGCTTCTCCCTTTCTCACAAGCTTCATCATAATTGAGCAAATTTCTTTATTACATTCGGCATTTTCATGAATTTTAGACATTTCACTAACTGTATATTTCACCGATGTCATTAAAGGTAAATAACGTGAAGAAATTTCAGGAATAGATGTATTCTCCATAAGGTCTTGCTGCTTTGTTTTAAGTATAATTTAATATAAAAAATATAACGATAAAATTTAAGTGTTTACGTATTAACATAAAATTGGGTCCTTCAGGATTTATACTTTTGTTATGATTACACAAAAATGTGCTACGCTCAATATTTATTTTTGTATTTCATTTAAAGGTAAATATCACTTTATTCGGGAAGGTAATTTACCTCCGAGTGGTATTGAGTGAATATTCCGGGTGTATGCATTACAGTGATTAGAACTTAAAGAAAGAACTACACCATCATTATTAATAAACTAATTATTAATAAGATACTTCTTTTTTGTTCTATATTACATTTATGAAATATCTAATACAGTTTAGCATGATGTTAATGTGTTAATCGCCTATCCCGCTATCACGAACACCACTGTGCAACAGATGCTAATAAAATAGAAATTTGGTGTCATTCATGCGTGGTCCACGTGCTTAAGAATTCAATCATAGTCTAACGTTAAGTAGAGAATGCATATAATGACGTCCTACGTACGTAACGTACTATTGCCGTACGTACGTAGATGGAATTGACGGTCCTATTCAAAACCCACGGGCCTACTTGCCCCATTTTTTTCGAGCTAAATAGATTGCAGAGAATAATTAATTTCGGTTTTACTAACACCGAACCGATGTATCAAATCTGCAGAAAAATTTACGAATTGCGGCGCTTCGACAAACATCTCACCGATAGGTCATTTAACCGACATCACATAGTGTTAAGATTAGCATTTTATTAGTTGCAGATATATATATTTAGTAAATTGTCACTTGGCGTGATGCCGGCTAAATGAACAATCGATGAAATGATTGTCGGTGAAATAAAAAGCGCCTCGGCCGATCGTTTAACCGAATGAGAATTTATATAATAATAAATGCAATATGCTTTAGTTAGTTGGGCTTATTTTTTTCATATAAAGAAAGTAAAAAAGGCCATTTATCTTTTTCTATTAGCGAATTTTCAATGCAGCTATAATGAGATTATTTAGAAATAGCTTGTTCAATTTTTTTAGGTTTAGGCATTTGCGGTATGCTAAATTACTTTCTTGTAGACATTCCCTATTTAATTCGTAATAGCTAGTATTATCTTTAATAGGAATTGATTGTACTGTAGTTTCTCTTCACGACCCAAACTACAGTTTTGTACACCTAATTCATACAAAATTACAATAATCCAAATTAGAAGAAATTGTCCTTTCCTGTCTAATCTTATGTTACTTTGTCCGAATTAGATATACAAAAATCCTGCCCATTCTGGATGAGATTCAATCAAAATACTCAACTGATAGTCCGTTTAGCGGAGTGAATTTTGAAAATTTATCTAGTTTAACGTTTATTTAATTAATATTAGGTCCATTTTGGGTTAATATTTAAAGGCATAAGAAGCAATTCTCCCCCAACATTTCTCACCAATGTTTCGAAATAGATTTAGGTTGCCATTTCTTTTATTTTTCGTATTTTTTTTTTTCGCTTGCCTTGTTTCGTCAAGCTTTATCCTATCCCTCAACTGGGCCAGCCCATAACTACTAGTTCAGTGTAATTAGCAGGCTTTCACATAAAGCATAAGATTTAAGGTAGTGAAACTTCACTTGCAGGTTAGCGTTAAGGTTAAAAGATGGCTATATCAAAATTTTGCAAAGAATTTTATCGCAATTTGTGATGTTTTGAATCTTATGAATTCTGTGTATTGCAATTGTTAAAATGATATAATATATTGAATTGCGGCAAATGATTATGAATTCTCATCCTATCATTGTTTATAACAATATAATATAAAGAACGCATAGGATTCAATAACATTATTTGTTGTACGATTTGCAAAGAACGATAAAAAAGCGTAATTTGTGACTTACACGCTGCACCTGACATAAGGTTTGTTTTATTGCGATTTGCAAAATAATCAAATTTGTACGTACGTACCCTCAGAAAGTATATCACGGGTACACGAACAGGCTTAGCAAAAATTTATACATACGTACGTACGTACATACGTAAGTTACGCAATTGTATAACTGATAAGTTAATCTCTTTTATCAATATATATAAAAAAGAAATAAATATTAACTGCAGCCTTCGCTATTATTAACTACAACCATGCCAAGGAACATTCAATTAACCGACTTAGAAAAAGGACAAATTATTGGAATGTATTATGTTGGAGCTATTATAACTATTATTGCTGCAGCAACTATACTACGGTATCCTATTTTTTAACCCGGCTTAGACAACGAGGAAGCATTGAAACTGGTTCAGGAAGGCCATCAATTATAATTTTATTGTAACCGTGATATACTTTCTGAGGGTGCTGTACGTACGTATATAATCACCTGATTGTTATCCTGATTATACAATAGTACAAAATGATTTTTAGCGAACAACTGCGCATAACAAAGATTATGAAAATAACACATCCATATTGAATTTTTAACTTCACGAACACACATCTGACGACAATCAAGCGACTGTATAGGTGAGGTGAACGGCGATTTACACAAATTTTCAAATCAAAATAAAGAATTTTATCATCAAATAACCATCTTAATAGACAATTTTAATGAGTCCAAATTTGTTAAAGTTCAATCACAGAATTCTGAAATCATTAAGGTTTGTGACACTTTCTAAAGTAACATAAAACCTTAGGGGTACCTGTGCTTGCCAATAACAGCATAAAGGCGATTTGACCTTCATGTTTCAAGTTACCTGGCCGATTAGTCAGGATCAGCACGCATTAAATGAGGACTTAAAATTAACTAATTTGTTAAGAAACTTCGAATTTAATCTATTTGGCAGATAATTTTTAAAGTTATAAATGATTAAATCAAAATAAGATTCTGATTTTTGCTTCGGGCATTATATTTGTAGCTTTTAAAAATGAATATAATTTAGATTAATATAAATTAGCTATTTCGTGCCTAAGTCTCAGTCAAATATTATAATTTATATCTGACATCTCTTGTATTGGAAAAGTTAGAAGGAAAGATGCCTCAGGGTAATCTCGTTATAATACCGTTCCCGGCGCGGTTAAAATAATGGATGCATAAAATGTTTATCAAGTTTTACTAAGAGAATTGACTTCATATTTTAAGTTGTCACAGTGTAAAATTCTACTTAAAATTTAATTCAATATTTACCATATATATGTTTGTTTCTGCAAAAACATTAACCAAAGTCAAATATGTTATTGCGAACAATTCTACTTAAGTAGAGACTGATTCATATAATAAATTTTTATTAAGATTAATATATATATTCCTAGCAGTTTTTATGCACCAAATAAACATGCGACCAATTTATAATTGTTAAGTAAATCAAAAAATTTTATTAGTAAAATTGTATAGATTACTCGTCAGCGAAGTGATGGAGCCAATATTATTTCAAGACAAATGAATTTATTGACGAGAATATAAATACGTATAATTATAAGCCAAGTGGGTACTCAGATAATGTATATTCTGCTTTGTGATATTGGGAAGGAGTTTGCAATGACGTAATACCGTAATTCAGTAATTACTAGTACTGAGACAGCAATGTTCGTAGATATCAAACCTCGAAATGTTCACTGAATAGCTATGACAGATACGCCCTCTTACCTAAGGCAGCTACTAGATTCGTTATCAAATAATATGAGAATTGTAAGTAGTATATGTAATTTTTTAATTACTACACATAATCATTTTACTTAAATGAGTTTTATGCATGAATTTTTAAAATTTTCAAAATCCAACTAAATACATCTTTGAGGTAGAAAAATTTTAGAAGTTGTTAAACAAAAAGATATGTTTAAATTAAAAATTTTGATTCATAATAATAGCTTTTAATAGGTTATAGATGAATATGAAAATAATTTGAAGATTTGACAAAATTGAATCAAATAGTATATTGCGCTAAGAAATCGTGGAGAAACTTATTTATTATTAAATAAATATGATAAATCGTATGCAGACAAATTTGCACATTTACAATTAATAAAATTCTTTTAAAATATAACTTTTCTTTCGATTACGTCAGGAAGTATAGTTAGAAATTATTCAAAAAAATACTGCGAAGTGATGGTAGATCACGTGATCGAATAGCGAGGCAGCACACATCCGCGCCACAATCTCATAGTGCCGATCGGACAAAGCCATAATCCATAATAAGGAACTGATTGAAAGTTGAAAATCATATGCAAAGAATGTAATGGCATATGCCAACGGCACATGAATAAGCAAGATTCAAATGATTCAAAGTGCCGAAGAGAAGCTTATTTATAGGCAAAGAAGAACACAAGGCACATTGGTATCAGACCCGAACAAAAGATTTGCTTGTAACCCACCCATCCCACCCAGAACGGATGACTACATGATTCTACCATTTTTCTGCTCTCTTATTTCATCATTTCTATACTCACAGCCGACTCGCTTCGGCGAGCGAGAAGTCACTGGCTGATTCCTGTGGCGACTTCCAGCGCAACAACAGTTGCAATCTTCATTGCCAATCTCGGCCGATCACTCGCTTATCATTTCTATTGCTTCCATAAAAAATTCGCCTCCGGCCTAAAATAAATGTGTAATGCGATGTTTTTCGATGCAATGTAATTCTCTATTATAATATAATTTCCTGTTATTTCATTTTGTTAAACAATTAGGCGGTATGTATGAATTTATCGAAAAGTATTGCACGCATGATTCAACTTGGATAATAATTGAAACTAAAACGGACATGCTCCCGGAAATAGCAACCGATGTTGCACCAGGCATCACCGTAAGCAGTTAAGTCTGTTATGTATGGCCGGTAGTTTTCCGCCTGCATAATGCAAACCGGCCGTTAATGTGAAACGTGACTAGCAGAACTTGGTACAGTAATTCAGTAATTATTATGAAAATGTCGAGTGGGCGGGATCGGGTTGCGATTATGTACAATTTCTTACAACGGAATTTACAACTCCTGCCGTAATTTTTGGAGCCGCTCTCCTTTTTACTTGTACTTGCTTCATCTTGTATTGATCCTGCCCAGGTTCAATAGTTTCCATTTGCGGAAATTGATTTTACACCTGTATTCGGATCTCTATTTGGAAACTCATGCCAATCTCCACATTTCTTCCCACATTTGTTGTGATTCCGCCCCGGGCTTTGTGAGGCGCTTATGTCCTGCTTAGCCATCTTTTCGTACGTACGTACGTACGTAGTAAAAAGATCTACACAGTTATTACTGGTAATAAATGTAATGCGCGTTGAGATACAGTCACATGAGCCTCGACCTCTGATCTCAATTACTGTATGTATTTATTCTGACGCAACCTACACAAAGTAAATTGCACAATTTTTCTTCTTTTTTATTCGTTTTATTTGCTATCATATTTTGACAAAAATAATAAACACGATAAACATTATTACAACTCGTTTTCGTTATAGTGAACTCCTCAGATTGAGAAAATATATTTATTACAGCCTATATCGAAAGAAACTATAAACAGCCAACTTTCTCCATAACAAATGCTGGTTCTGAACGTAAGAAAAAGTTCTTTATATAAAATTATTATTTTTCTCAAGAACCATAGTTCTTTATACCAAATTAATCTAAAATTTAAAAATTTTTATTACATTATTTTCTAGAGTTCATTATTGAGATGTTCGTTATAAAGAAAGTTGAATCTATATCTAGTTCAATAATTGCGTAATTTAAATCTTCACCATATTGAATCTTTACTGTTCTTCCCGTTATTTAATCGGGAATATATTTTAGAATTCTACAATCTTTTTATTGCCTCATTTGAATTATTTTTGTGTTAATTTGGTTATGAATGAGGTTTATTTATAAATCAATCTACACCGAAGCTTTCTATAACGAACTTTTTTATAATAAGCCCTGACACATAACGAACTATAAAATTTTTAAACTATATATGTTGAGTTTGGAAATTATATATCTTGTATTTTTTTATGATTCGATTTCATTTGTATTTTTTTATGATTCGATTTCATTTGTATAATTTAATTTAAGTTTTACAATTCATTTGATCTATTCGTGATTATTATTTAAGTAGTCAAATTTATTTTTAAAATATACTAGTTTTGTGCAATTAAGAAAGTTTTTTCAAAAAAAAGCAATATTTTTTTAAAAAAGAGGATTTATATAAAAGCACGAAAAAATAATAGAAAAAAAATCGAGACAGCGCCCTCAATTGTCCAGCATCACACGTCAAGGTTAAAATAGATATGTATCATTATTATACCGTACAGTACTGTAAAATATATTACCGTACCATCCTATACAGTACAAGATTTTAAACGTACTGTACATAATCTTTGTGCAATTGGTGTCCAAATGGCCCTATTTTTATCGAACCAAAACGCATAATATACAGTCGTGAATCCACTTTTTCCTATCTCTCTTATTTTTTTTTAAATTCGTTATAAGGAATCAATGATAGCTGATACTTTTAATCATCTTAAATTATCATCAACATTCTCACATGATGGTTTATTATCCTTTTCATACCTCTTTCTATTCAATACTAATGATTTGCAGTCACCAGCTTATGAAATTCCTCTAATATGACCCAGATCTGCAGATTTTTTAAAATACTCAAGTGCTTTCTCTTCATTTCCTTCAATTCCTTTTCGGATGTTCTATAGGTGGGAATATAAAAAATAAACTCCGCCAATAATTAGTAATATAATTAATAAATATTTAGCGGAGTTGCGGAGTTTGTGGAGTTTGCCCACCTATTCTATAGAACATCCAAAGATGGAATTGGAGTTGAAAAGGATGAACATAAGGCTTTTATTTATTATCAAAAATTGGCAAAAATGGTGAACTTTAAAGGAACATATAATGTTCGATCATGGAATTGGTCATTCATTTATCAGAAATGGGGAACACTGGTGGAACATATATATTGGATATTATTATTGAAATGGAATTGGAGTTGAAAAGGATGGACATAAGACATCCCCATATTTATAATAGTGACCAAGTGCATATAATCCACTAGCGTTTCCCATTTCTGCAGATTTTTGATAATAAACAAATGCCTTATATTCATCCTTTTCAACCCCAATTCCATGTTGATAATAATATCCAACATTATCAGCTCTGCAAATTTTTGATAATAAATGAATGTCTTATACGTATTTGAGTTGGTGGAGCAGTTATAATTCTAGTGGTGCGCCACATATATACCAACAAGATCTTCTGGTGCGTGCACCATTATACTACACATTGTCTTATGCTAGTAGCTTCAACTTTTTAGCTTGTCTAAGCTCATACAGTATTTTGTGTTCATTAATTGTCTACATCGGGAACTATCAAATTCAATTAACTAATATTATATTTCTTACAGTTAACCTATTGCGATAGGTTACCTTTAAAATTGAGCTAAAACTGAACCTATCCTTCAAAGTTATTTGGAAAGTCTATACACGTGCGTATGTCATATTACACGTAATCGCTCCCTTATGTAAATAAATTTAAATACGATTGGCTCGCCACCTCTGCAACATACCTGCGTTGGCATGCCAGCCAAGTACCCTGCACTACCGACTCAACCCACCGGCATTGTTGGAATCTGTTGAGATGAGAACAAATTTATTTAATTTAATGTTCTCAGAATTCTATTTATATTCTCAAAAATAAAATTTATTTATATCCCTATTTTTTAAATTTTCTTATTACGGAAAATATCAGCCATTTATTTCAAAATTTTGTCCCAACCCTTCTCGTCTTTTATGTTCATTAATTTTCTTTTCGGATGATTTCCGAACTTCGCTTGATTTCTAATTTTATTTCCATCTGATATTATGCTATTATATTTATATAATACTATATAAAGAACATATTTTTCGAGTATTACGTTCTCAATTTTTTTTTTCATAAAGAATATTTACAGAATATCAAATGTTCTAAAGGTATGTTCACATGAGAACATAAGATTTCGAATACTGTCCAGGTACTACGTATATCCGTGTGCAGATCTCAGGATCTTCTTTATTGAATGCAATTCTTTCAAACATCTAGATTGCATGTTACAAATGTAAAATGTGTATGCATTTCAAATGTTTACTTTCGATAATACAAACTCTCAGCCATGTACTAGACCCGGGTCTACTATAGGCTTTTAAATGTAACAGACCAGGTCTTTTATATGACCGTTTACTGTAGTCATTTTTATCCAATCATAGTTGTGTTACGTGTGGACATAAGGACAAGAGTAAATTTTTACCCAATCACCATTTATTTATTTATCACGCGGTGGACATATCAAACCATGCATAAACTGTGGGTCCTTCGCTACGCTCCAGATAATTAAAAAATTGATATTTTTTGTTGTTCGGTACTATCAGTGTTTCGGGCGAAACTATTTTCCAAATCCGAAACGTTTTGCCCAGAGGAATTTTAGTTTTGCCTATAAGTTCGAAACCCAATTTGATCTGCAAATGATCTGCAAAGTCGGGTTTCGCCCGAAACACTGGGTACTGTATGAGCAAAGTTATTTATATTCAATAATAAATGCATAGTTACTATCTTCTTATTTGGTTAATTTTTTGAAAGCCATTTAATATTGATTTTGATTCTGTATATTTTGTGCATCGCTTATTGATTCCTATCGATATGTCATTTGTGAATCGTATTTTGTTTAAAATTGGTATAATTTATTAATTTAAAAAATAGTAATTTTTATATAAGCAATATTTATTGTCTTACAATGAGAGCAAAAATCAAATGCCAATAAAACGAAATGCATCATCTTCATTTATTTTTATTTTTTTAAAAAAAAAATCAAACGAAATGAAACTTTTTTGAAAATAAATATTACTTTTAAAATTATTTGCAAATACTGTTGACCCGATATGCATGGTGGACGAGGTTATCGGATTTGAAAACATTATACTAGCATTAGATTTATATAACGGAAAAGGGCTTGGTATAATTTTCTATCAGATTTGACAGGTTATCGGTTTTAAGAGGATCGATTTTGGGAGGTTCAACAGTATATCCATATTGTCTTGAAATAATGAATTGCTTCTTTTATTTATGCAGCAAAAGGTCTTTCTGTAATTGCAGTATTCGCCAATTTTTTAGGTGCTGAATAATTTATTCCGTATATTAAGTCATTGTTCATATTATATCAGACATTCAAAGCTCTATTTAATAAATAAATAAATAAAAGTTTACTCTATCGCAATTTGACTCGAAATTCTTTGAAGATTGGGCTGGAAATATATGGATTTTTTTTTCACCCGTTTGCCTTAACAAAGACATGTAATTATTTTATCCGTCTCACCTCATTGATATTAAAATATGGTTATTTTACAAATTCACAAAGCTCGCATGTATATTTCATTTATTTTATTTGTCTTGCCTTATTTCTACGATTTTTGACTTTTATAATAGCAACTTGTCAAATTTTCTTATATATTTTCTTTGATTAATACATGTTTCTAGTATTTGTTAATGAGATTCACGAGCAAAGATTTAAATTATTATGATGGTAAATGCAGTGCACTTTCTTTTTTTGCTATACGTATGTACGTAATTAATTTAAAACTTCTTCATTGATATAATTTGTAGCATCAATAAGTGGCATAGGCCATTCATCTATCGGTGAAAATTCAAAATGAATTAGATTGATTCCGAATTGACGGGAATCAATAAACGAGCATAACAATATAGGCTGGATATATAAGATAGTTCAATTACTTATTTTTACTTTTTAACAAATATAGTAATAACTTTTCAGAAAGAAGTTACTACTAAGCTATCTTTTTCAAACAGATGAGAGCTAATTATCTGTTTTTTTAGCTATACACATGGATATAACGACATCGTAGTAAAATCTTTCTATATCGACATTTTTTTCTCAAAATTTTTCAAAATTTAATATAAAATGTCGGCATAGCTCTGTATCGACATTTTTGAATTTTTTTTTACTAATGAATAAAATTATCGTATACTATATAGTCCTATAACTCCGATAAAACTTTCTATATAGCTTCTTTTTTTTATGGTTTCTTTTTAAAAAAGTACTTTAAACTGTATAAATAATGTAAAAATTAAACAGAAGTTATTAGCCAATCAAATGGTTGGTTTATTCGAGTAAGATGCCATTACAAATTTAGAAACTACAATATAATATTAAAATAGGTTGATAAAAGAAGAT